CATGGACCTTTAATTCAGCCCCCATGGGGGTCGGGGGGCTGCCCAATGGAAAAGGCCCCGGCTAAATGCTGTTAGTTTCCAGTTCTGCCCCCCAAGGGCATATGGGGCTCATAGATGGATGGAAGTTACAGTTGTCTTCATATGAAAGTCATGGGTGTTCATGTGTCATAGTCTTCAGTTGTGTATGAGGGACTTAGATACATCCTCAAATCACAGACTGCCCAGGAAAGTATAATTAATGTTCATTTAACGGTGAGTGTGTGCAGGCATTAACTGAAATGTACTTAAGGTTGTAAGTGTTCAAAAATGCTCCTCACTGCAGCCATCCTTGTGTTTAGTCTTGTGGGCCCCTTATTGTTGGTGTTGTTCACCTCGTGAACATGAGCAGGCACATAAGTCTCTACTTATCACAACAGAAAATGTATATTGAGCACAACAGATAGCAGGCACCTGCAGGCCCTCACATGCTTAAGGATTGTACTAGTAAAGCAGAGAACGTCAACTTCAGGTTCCACCTTGGAATTCCTTCCCTATTGCTCCTCCCCATGTTCCATCCCAAATTCTGCCAACTCTGTCTCCATGCTCCCTCTGCCCTCAGTGAAAATATATGTGAGGTGTTTACAGTTATGGAATAAGAATTTCTCAAACCAAGACCCGAAGATGAAAAGCCATGAAGGAAAACAAAACTTTCCTATGTCAACCTTACATTGGAGAGATACAAACACAGGGCCAGAATCAAACTCAAAGTCACACAAAGATGTTGACAGGGAAAGGGTCCCGTGGACCAGTGTTCCTCAACCAAAGCCCAGGAGGCTCGCTGTGGGCAGGCGAGGTGGGTCAGTTATCATTGTTGGAGGGAGAATGCATCCCACGGGGGCCATGGAGCATCCTAGTGGAAAGCGGGGAGATAGGACACATCTAGGGTGTGGACTCTGGATGGGCGACCTCAGGGAAGGTCTAGGGAGCTGGCTCCTCTAGATGGTGGTGTCAGGAGGGGCAGCTCTATGGTTGGGCAGCTCAGGGACCATCAAGGGACAAGTCCGCCTGCAGCGAGGGTGGAGGG